TAGGACTCATGATCAATCTAATAATCACTTTCACTGCTTTAATCTTCTATTATCATTTTCAGATCTTTAAATATCTGATACGATTACTCTATCATTCCTTATATTTTTCAAAACAATTCAAACCTTGTTCATGAAATTTAGAGTCAATAAATGATTTCTTTCCATTCCTTTTCTAAAAAATAAAACTACTGTTAAATATATAACTTGAAATTCATTTTGAGTACCAAAAACTGTCTTTCAAAACTGTAACTGTAAACTCTTGTTACTAAATATTTTACGTTGTATTTATTCGATCATTTACAAAAAGGTTTCTTCTTATTTGATTTTATTACTATACCATCTTTGGCTGACGTGAGTTATAGTTTTTTTTGAAAAAGAATTCAGTCTTTATAAATACCTTCAAATTATTAAATATTTATCAGTCTTATTGTATCGATTTATTTTCTCATCTCAATTATACTAATCTTTAATATCAAAAGCCAAGCTTTGTCTCGAGCCCCTCGAGCCCCTCGGTGCCTCAATGCCGAAAACAAAGCTCGTTTGGTATTAAATATCTGACTTAATAATTCGATAATAAAACCTTGATTTATGAATTGATTCAAATAAAATCTTTGATATTATCACTTTCCAGTTCATTTAGGATCTTATCATAAAAAGCGTATTAATACTGAAAATTTTCTATGCTTTTAAATTTAACTTTTTACGATAGTTTTCTTATTGTTACAAACCAATGTAAAATAAGAACTCTTTATCATATAAAATATTAGACATGATGTCAAAAATTTAAATAGTAGATTCTTCGGATATAATAACAGACACCAGAATACATAGATTAAATTATTTAACATATTGAGGAATATTAAATTCAATTCAAAAAATTGAATCAACTATTACATTTATTTGTTTTGTTAAATCCAACCTATTAAATTGATAAGATGATACTAAAGTCATTTGATTCAAATGCATTCCTAAATTTTAATAAAGGAAATTGTTCTGAGTATTCAATAAATATAGTAAAAAATCTTGTTTTGAAAGTGTAAAGACAATTTCTCAATCAAACACAATGTAAAAATAAAGATTGAATAATTTTTTAGAATATTTTCTGATTAATAATAATTATATTTCAGAGTATTTTCTATTCTTATTCATTGATACATAAATTATCAATATAATTCCTTGTATAAAATTAAATTTAACTAACAGGCCCTAACTGAAATCCCAGGTTTATACTTTATTAAGAAAATTTGAAATAAAATAAAATAACTATATTACTTAAGATTCTATAAATGAAGAAAAGTCCGGTGGACTTATCTATATATATAGATGATTATGATTATATATTATGTATATGCCATGTATATATTAAAAGCAGAATTTTAACGAATTTTTGATTCCATTGAGCTCTTTAATTGATATCTCCACATGAGACAGTTGTATTCTTCAGAAAGTAACTGATTTTCCATTAAAAATAACATTCTGAAATGTACATAACGAAATCGATATTATATCAAACATGTCTTTTAAATCTTTTCACGTTCACATTTAGATCTATTGTTTTATCCAAAAAAAACTTTTCAAAATCATATTAAATGATAGTATCTTGTTGAAAGGTATAATAAATATGAGATACAATGAGTATATTACTTGAGGTTCTATAGACATACATGAGTTGATATGATCGCGTACTACGAATATACCAATGCCGGAACTTCAACATATCTTTGATTCCTTCCCATCACTACTACTATTCTAGACAATTTACTCATATGCATCGAGATAGAAATCTAGATTTAATATAATATATAATCAACATCATATTTTGCCCTAACAATCTAGATTAATGAGTTTAAAAAGTAATGAAAGAGATGTGAGAAGTTTCGTTTCTCAAGAATGCTGGAACCTCCTATATTCTATCTAACTTTTCTACTAGTGTAAATGCAAATCTTTGTTCATCTTATCATATTCACAGGTAAAATATAGAAACTATTATTATCTCTCACTCAAAATTCATTATCGTTATTATCTCTTCAATCGATTGTCGAAAATTCGTGTTTTCTCGACATACGTTTTTTTTCATCTTATTATATAGGTATAACTTTTCATCTTTTAAACAAAGATGATTTATAACTTTTTTTTTGGAAGGATTATTATCTTATCATTGATCAGCATTGAAACAATAAAATCATTCCGTCGGGGTTATTTTTGGACTTCGCAAATTGATACCTGTTTAAAAAAGATGATTTTTGGAACACAATATTGAAAAACTCTCTATTTACATTATAATACTCAACGTATTCAGAAATATCAATTTTAATTTAAGGATTTAATAAAAATATACCTTATGGATGTATTTTATCAAGTATTAAAGATGTAAATTTGACACAGTTTGATCTACAACTTTGAAGTCGAAATGTACTCTCGAGATACAGATTTGCGAGAAATCTATGATCGTTTTTGGAAGATGTGATGATTGTTCTATTCAATACTCTAGTATATATTATTCAAAACTTTTTTTCTAATTGACATCGGATTAACGTAGAAAGCATATAAGGTTTACAATAGAAGAGATACAATAAAAAATAGTAGGAATGTTGAAACATTAGTTATACATTTCAATAGATTTATTGATTTGGTAAATGAAAGTATTAATTAATCATGAGACTTAGGAACAGATTCATAGAGTCCTTTAGAAAGGATTTTTTGAGAGATTTATGAGAGAAATTATATGAGGATTGAAGAAAGGATGTATGTACTAGAGGATCTAGGAAGGGATTTAAAAATAGAATATTAGAGGATACATTTATCATAATTATCACGTTTGTTATATTTATGGTTTTTGAGACTTAATAGCGCTTTAAGTATCCCTCTACGAGCTAGAAGCAAGTGGCAAGCGATTTATCAGATTTATGAAATTTATGAAATTTATTAGATTTATTAGATTTATTAGATTTATCAGATTTGTAACAATTTTGGCGCTTTCATTCGAACCAGAAGTAATAGGCAATCGAAATCTGTAGATCATTGTGTTGTATTTGGATCTATTATTCTAAGATTGATCCTTATTAGAGTGACTTTTATAGAATTCGTTATTACCAGTTTCATTATTACTAGTTTCATAATAAGATTATTTCAGTTTTGAAACTTCAAATTGAATCCATTTGATTGGAATTAATACATAGACTATATTCTTCAGAAAGCTTTCAATTTCTTATACGCACCAAAAAGGTTTTGAATGATAGAAATTAATTGAAAGGTATGATACGGATTAGAATAGTTGTTTTTTACACCATTCTATATAAATAGAAGGACGACCATTTTATATACACACATAAATAAATAACATTACATTTATAAATCAAGTATAAAATCTTGATATTTTACCAGGTTAATTCATATATTTCCTTATCCACTATAGTCTTTATCTTTTTATTTATTTAAATGTTTCAAACACGTTTTATTCACATATGTAAAACAATGAAATTAATACAATCATTTGTAGGAAAGTCCCCATAGAATTTTCATTTTTCAAATAGACTCGAATATCCAGAAGCTATATTTCCGAATCAAATAACCCAAAAGACTAGGAGATAAAACTAGAAGTTCTATTTACTGCTATATATATAATAGGATAGAATAATAGGATAAAGTATAGACTAGAGTTAATACTATTGTATAATACCACTTCTCTTTTTCATATATAATCTTTATATTTATATTTAAAAAGAAGGTAAATAAGAAAATTTATATATATTAGTTTCTAGATTAAAAATCTATAAGCTATAAATAAGTCTTTTGTGTAGCTTTACTTATTATAATCAAGGATAGTTTTATTTATTGTTATAGAATCACTTTTGAAAATATTCAGAAATTATATCACTGAGTTAAACAATTCAAAAGGCTAAGAGATGAAACTAGAAGTTCTATTTTATTCTTACATATACAGCAGGACAGAACAGGGTATAGGCCAGAGCTAATACCACCACGTAACACAACTAATTATATTCAAATAGATATTATTAACATCAACATTAAAAGTATTATTATGATTTAGAGTTATATATTTATGTTATAATGTATTAATAAATTCCTATTGAGACATTTCGTGATTTTAATAGAATTAATCTTCTTTGTTATGTTTGTTATATATAAACCTTCAAAATGAATTCTGGAATTATATATATGTCATGATAATTTCTGATTATAGATTTTATACAATCAAACAAAACTTAAATACAATCTACTTCATAAAATCAAATATCTATATAAATACAAAATCATTATTTATAACAAAATTAAATCATTTTGATACAATCGAACCAAAAGTCACTCATAACAGCTTTTTATAGCTGTTTAAGAATATTGTTCAAATGTTTGATTACTAGTCATAGTTTCGTTTCTTCATTAATCTATTATTCTTATCGTTTTAATGATAAACAGGTAGGAAATCAATTCTATCCTGACCTACTCTAATTAATATTTTCAAATTAATAACAGTTTATGATTACACGAAGTATATCATTCGAAAACTTTTAATTCATAAAATAAGTTTATTTACCTAAAGATCTATTTTATAAATCCTTCATATTCAATTAATCAGTTTAATTTAATTCTAACGCTAAATCCTTTTATATAGGTCTTGTATCATCCTGATATATATATTTGAAAACATTGTTCATAGTCACAAGCCGATTAAACTTGATCATAACCAACTAATCTTTTCTCACGATGTTAAAGGGATCGTTCTTGTAGAGATATAGAATTATTAGTCCTATAGATCTAGCTTACATATATGTTCATCCACTCGCACCTTCCATATTTATTTCTAACAACGTTCATTTAGTATAATGGGTACAATGAAGATATACATCCTTTCTGCTTACATGGTATATCCGCCCTGAATTAGTCCAATTCAACCCTTCCAAACTCCAGATCTGTATGATACATCCCATCTTAATATTCCCCATCCCCTTATACTGATACGCCCAAAATGCAATTCAAAGTTAAGCGCCTGGAACACGTCTTCGATACCCATTAAAGGTTTCCCCTTCTCCTGATGTGACCAGCTCTTCTTTGATCCTCCTCCTCCTTTCTGCACGACTTAACGGTTTTTCTGGAACTGCAATTTCTCCCCCTCCCCCTTTCTTAATACCCTCTGTGTTGTCCACCGACTCAGCACCCTCACCCTCACCCTCGACACTTCCGTAGTCCTTCCGTACCTCTATGACACTCTCCTCAAGCTCAACCCCACTCCACTCTTCATTCTCCTCCCCCTGCGCCTTATTTTTTCCATTTTTTCCAACCACTTCATCACTCTCTTCCTCTACATCTCTCTTGATTTCCGCTCTTATATTTCCTTCCCGCACGGCTTCATTCTCGAACTTTTTGGGCAAAAATCCCTCCACCTGACCTTTCCTTCCACTTCTATCCGCATTGATATTTAGATTATCTGGAACCTCTAACCCCACCAACTTTGCTTGAAATTGGGGTTTGATAGCTTCTCTTAAATCACGTACTGTTTGCTGTTGGAGAACATAACCGGAGAGGAAGAGCGCGGTCGTAAAGAAAAATACTGACAATTACTCATTAGCTTTGAACTACCATTATCAAAAGGCAACAAGTCCTCATTGCTTGATAGTGAATGTATAATGCTATTTGTAGCAACGCGGAGAAGAGATAATCACTCGCACATACCGATAAAGGAAGAAATAGCGACTGAGACTTGCCCGGATGTCAGAAGCATGTTTTTGCGACGTGAGTTTGGGTTTGGTATTTCAAGATTGAGCTATCAAGTCGAGGTTTCTCGTAGAAATTGCAAACACAGCATATGATGAATCCGATTGATTGAAGTGGTGTGGTGGGTGTATTGTAGTGTCGTGGAATGTCGTGGAGGGTTTGATATAATTCCGTAATTTATATACAATTATGTGCCATATTTAAACAGTTTTATAACTATATAAGCATCAGACACATGATTGATACTTACGCACGATGATGCGTTGGGTCCGTTTCGTTTCGCGCAAGATTGAAAATATTAGTGACTGGTTGACATAGCAACTATCAACTATCAATTATCAGTCATTGCGATAAGAAAAACCTACCACTTCTTTAAACAACGTTACTTGGAGACACACTACCAGTCGTATTAAAATTCCGCTCAATTACTCTGAACCAAATCTTGAAGCTTCTTTACCTCTTTCCAGCTTCCAAAATATAATTCGAATCGCATCAAAACTTCTGTTCATTTGGAATGGCTACCCACCGCGCCGATGAAAAGCGCTTCCTTGACGAACGCGGCAACACTGGTCCTCTTGCCCCCAACGGTCTTAATCCTGCTACCATCCTCGAGAAACCTGTGCGCGAACGCATTGTCGATTGTTATTTCTGGAAAGACCAATGTTTTGCGCTCAATGAAGCTGATATCGTTTCGCGTGTTGTTTCTCACGTAACATTCATCGCTGGCACGTATGGAGATTCGCAAAGACCTTCGCCATTTCTATGTCTTGCTTTTAAGTTGCTACAGTTAGGGCCCAGCGACGATATACTGAAAGAATATATGGGGTATGGTGGAGAGAAGTTCAAGTATCTGAGGGCGTTAGCGTTGTTTTATTGGAGGATGACGAGACAGGCAAAAGATGTATACACTATGTTAGAAGGTTATTTGGAAGATAGGAGAAAGCTAAGAAGGAAGACAAGGACAGGCACAACGTTGACATTCATGGATCAGTTCGTGGACGATTTGTTGACGAAGGATAGGGTGTGTGGGACGACCTTGTGGAAGATGCCGAAGAGGGAGATACTAGAAGACCTAGAGGTGCTGGAGCCCAGGATCAGTCCACTGGGGGATATCGAGGATTTACTAGATGAGAGTGAGGGCGAGATTGAGGTGACGAAGAATGGCGCGGAGTCAGAGAGCGCGGACAGTCCTGGGGAGGAATTTGGAGAGGAAGCAGTGGAAGAGGGAGAAAGAATGGATGTGGATCCATCAGATAAACCCTCTTCTTCTAAGCAGGATAGTCTATAACATCGGTGAAGATCCTTCCCGGGAGTTCGGTTTATGTTTTGGATCTCGAAGATATTATACCCAGGAAACATTTCCTTCTGAGATCGTTAAAACACTCTCATATTATGGTCAATTACATTACTGATTGAACACTGGCTCAACCATAATTCATTCACTGGTTTTTGTTTTCTTTCTTACTTACTGAATCTTTTGCCCAGCTAGGGTTGAAACACGTGAAATGAGGCCTGTAGATAATTCATTAACCTCCAAAAAGGCAAAGATCATTAACGTTATCCCTCCTGCAAAATTGAGTTCAGTCCCAAGAGCACTTCTCACCCAAACACAACACCTGGTTTTCCCATCCACCCATCCACCCATATTGCTTCTATATACCCTTTGATGGCCACACCTATGCCGATTATCCACAGATTCAACACAATCGTACCATTACAACTTTTTCTTCCTCTTTCACACCTTTTGTCTTATCCAGCGCCTTCATTTTACAGCCCTCCCAACTCTGCCTCTCCTAGACTTATCCTCATCTCTTCTCATCTGTTCCTTGCTCGAGTTCTCCAGCCACTGCTGACCTAGAAGTGCATCACTCCATTCAAACTTTTCATCATGACTTGGAGATTGAGCCTTGGGACAGGGTTAGTCCTCCATGTGGGAATCTTTGAAGAATGAAAAGGGACTCGTGCTCACAAGACATGAACTGCACTGATCACCAAATTTTAAAACCATATTCTGGCAATTGAGGGAGCCCTGGCTATTATATGAGCATATGATGTATTCATGTGTGGTTCATGTACAAGGAGAGAGGAGGTTTGACAAGCTTGGGCTGCTGGCACTCACATAGTAATTTGCGCAATAGCAAGACATTTCGAGAATTGGTACTCGAATTCTGCGATGATGATTGATCTCTCCGTTTCAGCCAATTTTTGTACGAGTTAGTGCTCTTCTCAAGTAGCGAGAATAGTGTATGGTTTTCTATGTCTTCCTCTAGAGCTTATGCAAAAAGTCAAATACTACCTACATATTTGAAGAGAAAAGACGGAGAAAAAGCAAGCGCTACATAGCTACGAAGCTATTATGGTTAGCTACCTGCCCTTTCCGAAATAAGAGTAGGGCACACTTAACCTATTAAAAATCAGTTTTTGTGACAGCCGTGACGGGAACTAGCTACCCTCTACCCTACATCCACCGTTGCCATTTCAGTCAGACCCTTGGTACAAATATAATTCGGATCCTAGATATTGACAATCACATCAGTGCAGTCACATCCCAGCCCAGCCAGTCAAATCCGCACGTCCATATTAAGCTCAATATAATTTTAGGATAAGCAAATCTAAAATCCACACTTTTTCAAGACTAGTCCAAAGACCAAAGTCGGGGACTCAGAGTCTTGAGTCGAGAAAAGTCGTGCATCTAAACGCATTATTGTTAGACCAAAGGATTGGCTAAATCACCCCTTTGAGATCCGAAATATGTGCAATAGTATTCTCAGTTTGGTGTTATGTTCAGGGAACTTGATGGGTTTGATGACTGGGGGTAGAATATCACAGGAATATAGGCCGAGCGTATAATACATAACCTTGAGCTCAGCTCGTTTACCATGTAAGAGGGTTTCACCTGATCGATTTGTTTTGAATGAGCTTCCCATTCTCCTATGTATTGAACTTGAATGTTCTCAGGTTAGATAATCTTGTCAACGAACAAAATTGTCTATTTTCAAGGATCAATATATAGTCTCAGAATAGAAAATGGCGAGTGTGATATTCCTATGAAACTCCTTGCCTTTTTCGAGGATGTACCCACTTTACAATCAATGGATCGAAGAGCTCACCTCATGTAGGTAAATTTATTAAAATGTGTGTAGACAAGACGGTTGAAGACCTGTCACAAGTTGAACTTTCATAGACTAAGTGGAATGAATGTTTCAGTGTGGTTCATCGTAGGAGGGTTCAAAGTTATTATACGGGCCAACGATAAAAATAACCCATTTTGCTTTTTGAGTTTTAGTACTTCTACCTTGATGTCGGAAAAGCATGAGTATCTTAAAGAACAGTGATCAATGTATAAAATAACACATGTCATACATGAACCGCTCCACGAGTATGTTGCCAGACTAAGTTCTTCACTGAAGGAAATAGTGACACATCTAGTAGGTGAGTGCCACTTTACAACTTCTGATCATCATCCACCTATAATACAACATACTTGAACTTCAAAGCACGCAGGGGCTGTTTTACAAGAACTGACATCTATGAATTTTATATGGTTATTATGTATTATAGCCTTGATGTAGATTGCTAGCAGACTACAGACGAGTATATTTAAATGTAAATTATGGTCTAAATTCGATACTTCATAGATGCCAAACTCCAGCTCGACCTTGATGACTGATATCACTTTCTACCTAAAATGCTGCACAAAACCATGCAACCTGTCAATGACGACTGGGAAGATCGCATTCGCACTATCCTCAATTAACCTTTCAAAATGCCTGATTGCATCCTCTTCGCTCAATTCTAAATGGAATCGTTCTTTGACTTTCAATACAACCTTGTCAGGCTCAATTTTGATATCCGGAATGTTGGCATCAACCATCAGACTGAAGAGATTGAGAATCAAATTTGAGGATTTCCGTAATGTTGTATAAGCCGTGAAGCAGTACTGTTTGAATTGCGGATAATGTTCCGACATAGATCCTCCCATCCCGTCTACCATTTCCTTACAGAGTTTCATCGCGGGAGCAAATGGCTTGGGGTCTCTGCCAAGTATAAAGCCAAAATCAGCGTGGAAGAAATGACCATCTGGTGCTAGAAGAAGATTGTCCAGATGACGATCGCCCACACCAAGAAGATATGTAATTACACAGTATCCTGCACACGATTTTATAAACACATCCAAGGCTTCTTTGCGAACACCAAGAGATGCCTTGTCATCAGGATTATTAGATTTGAGGTAATTAAGTACAGTGTTGCCCTTGAACTTATTGACAATGCTCTGCAGGGTCATGGATGGAACGAACTGGACAGCTCCTGCAGTTGCTCCAGTCGCAAGGATTTTGTAAGGTGACAACTTCAGGTCTAGGTTCTCTTTTTGTAGTAGCTGGTCCATGAGTGTAATGATCTGAATGACTAACTGATCCTGGCGCAAATCGTCTCCTGTCTTGAAGATGATTTGATATTTTTGTTTGGTTGTCGTCTTAAAGGTTATCATGATTGGAAACAACGATGACTTGAAAACATTCGTTTCAGAAGGATCCACGCCGGTGATCATAATCGAAGGGTCAAGCGGTAGAGGTAGGGGTGGGTCTATAGTGATGAGTTCATTCTTAGGATCGGCAAGAAACTGCTTTACCTTCTCGGCCTTGCGAGATACTGTATCCCGTGAAGACTTTATATCTTCAGAAACCCTAGACAACATCGTGACGAGCTCTGCCTGACGCAGTAGAACCTTTCGAGTCTCAACTCCTTCTGGCGTCTTTACCAATTCGGTCATGAAATCGTATTCAACCTTGGCAAATAGTTTACGATAGCCAGCTCCTTGATCTTCGCTTTTGTCATCGCATTCCACCATAAGATACCAGTGAAAGAGATTTCCGAGCTGGAAATTATTTGTTGCCCTCGAAATAAGTAGTCGTGCGAGGGAAGAATCATGTGTTGCATCTTCAGCCGAATCGGGTGAAATATGCTCGAATTTGAGGGCCTGTACAAGTTGCAACAGATAGAGCAAGAGCTCGTCATCGTCGGATTTTCGTAATCTATCCACGGCGTAAGCTCTCACGGAAGAATTCTCGAATGTTGGTCCCAATAACTCTAAAGCGTCATCGACATCAATCTCGGTCCATTTGCTTAACATGGCCACTGCTTCACGAGCTTCATTTGGGTCATTCCAATTTACAGATTTGATGAACTTGGTGAGTGCCCTTTTGTCCCGCGCAAGATGATGCCTGAATTTCCAGACAAGGTCTTTTTCCTCTGGTGATAGAAGGTGTGTTGGCGAATATGCAATAATGTTGTTTAATTCATCTCGGACTTTGGCATTTGGTTTAAGGTCACGATCTAGCACCCCAGTTCTGTGACTTCGAACCAAGCGACGATGTTTACTCTCCGCGGGGTTATCCCTGGCCCCAACTTCAGGGTCGTAGACTCTCACAAGGCGTCCGCTAAAGCCATGCTCATCATTATCCCCGAAGCCATTGATGCCAGGCCCGAATTGAACTTGCGGGGGAGGTTTGAGGATGATGTTTGACTGAGAAGAAGAAAGATTCTGTAGCGAAGATATAGGTGGCGGCGGGTATTCATGGTCGGCAAATACAACCGGGAAGTCGAATCTGGGTAGCTCCACATGAAGAGTGAATCTTTCATCCTTGGAAGGATGGTCGTCCGATAAATCATGGTCGGCATCGTTATTCTTCTCCCCTGCCCCATCCAGAGTCAAAATCACACTTTTTTGTCGAGTTCTTCTGCGCTGTATATTCTTGAGTGAGGTACTGGACGCCTGAAGACCTCGCTTTTCTACTCCTCTAAAAACTAATTGATCCAGCCACTCGATACGTGTAATTTCGCCCATTTCATGTTTTTTAAATAGCTTCTCCAGTCTGTCTAGTTCTTCACCCTCTTTGTCTATTATTTCAGCTTCTTCCTTAGATTTAGATCCGGTACGACGCACGTTAGGCAGGACTGCGGGCGTTGAGGAGGAATCCAGGCCATCTGCAGCCTTGCGACGATGTAAATGACATTTTTGACGACCTTTTTGCAGCTGATTATCTTTATCGAACAGCCGTAAAGTAGTCCCACCAAATGGCACAGCATGCCCTTGAGCCCCATCACCTCCCGTTGGAGACAAATCCCATACTGTGATCGCAAGTTGAGAGCTCAAAGGTATCGTTGAACAGTTTATGGGCAAGGTAAGCCATTCATTCCATCTTCCCCACGGTCAGCAACGTTCAAGTCTTTCAGCGACCTTCGACACTCACTTTCTCTCATTTTTGAATGATTTATAAGCTGTTTGGACGGGTACAGTTAATGGTTTCGAATCAGCCCACAACTGTACAGTGACATAAAGATCCGAGTGAAGGCTGTGATAGAATAATGGTGTCAGTATGCTCTAGGTCGAAATGCAATGTAGAAACGCATACACAGGCAACTTACCTCAAATTTGAGCCAATATGTCTCAAGTCTGGTCGATTTATGAGTGTAGAAAATGGAATTGGGGTCTGCTCCCCTTCAAGGTTGACGCTATACATGTAATGTTTAGTGGATGTGCATAAAGCAGTTTTGTAAACGAGCATGCTAAGATGTCGTGATGATATTCGACTTACATTCTAATGTTTACTGGAATATCCAGAGCCTCTGAACTTGCAAAGGAGAAGGGTTCCATGTTCCATGTTCCACAGATATTTGGTAGAAGGAGTACCTAAGTTGGAAGGGAAGCAAGAATGAATTTATAATGTTAACTGCGTACTTAATGAGCCCGTGATACTTGAACCTGTAGTAGAGAGATCGTAGGAGCCGTAGATTCCGTGAAACAAATACAATGAATTATCGGTATGAATTACTATTATTGTTATGTATGGGATGAGTTGGGATGACGGGAGGTAACATCGATATCACAAGTAATAAATGTGCCATTGAGCCATCATCCTACGATGTCTGTGCACTTCCCCACACAGTGTTATCGGAACATTATAATTCCGCACACCCGTCACGCTAGCATCGCCCCGCCAAAATTGATCTCTCTCACTCTCTCCTCTCGCCCTCGCTGTCATCAGGATTGAGTGACTTGAACGTCGACTGAAGTAATATCACATGATTGATCGATTGATTCTCTTGACGCGACCTGCTCTTTCTTGATTGAAGGCCACTAGGTATACCAGCACACCACATCTCTCTGCTCCCACTCTCACTCCCATTCCCACCTCTACCTCTACCTCCAACCTTCCTTCCCCCTTTCAATCCATATCACCCTTCACTATCCTTCTCTTCACGTCTCTCTCTTTCCGACTACGAACATTTTATTTGGAACCTACAGTATGAAGTCATAATGGAAATAACACAGTGACAAATTACTTTCAATTTTAACGATCAAAATTCTATCACTCGATAAGCTTAATTCTTTATCTTATCAGGAACTTTCGTTCGAGCACACGAAGTATCAAACGCGATCTGGACGCGCGAGGCTATTCACTTATCGCAACCACGTCTTGAATGTTCGCGTCCATTTTAACATAAAAACTTCAGCGAAAATTTGGACTGCGCCAGACTTTCACAATAGTTCACCATGTCTAGAATAAAGATATCGGAATCTCCGGCCCCTCATTTTGCTGACGATTTGTACGAAGCATCTCCCGGGCCAAGTTATCCACGAAGGACTTCCGATAACATGGCTTTATCTCCTTCCCCAGCCGCTTCTATTTCATCCGATAAAGAGAACCACTCTTCAAGAAATGCAATCGATAAGGGAAAAGGTCGCGCCGTAAGTGTTTCCATGGGTCCACCAAGAGCACCATCACCCATCAGCAAGAGAAAGCGCACTGGGACTACCGGCGAGGGAGACCATTCAATGCAACGCAACCAAAGAAGGCGCACAATCGAAGCGGTTGAAGATGACGACGAGGGGGAACAGGAGTATGATCCAGATCAGAGTGTCGAAGAGAGAAGAAAGCTTCGGTCCGACTTGAGGGGCCTTTCAAGAACTCTGCAAGATAACCGTGCCGAGTATCTTAATGCAGAATCAACGGGCATCAAGGATACGTTGCTCAAAGCAAATAAGCTATCAGAAAAAGTTAAACAAACCTCGGATGCAACAATCGATTCACGGTTGCTTGTCAGTACTGCAGACCTCGCCAAGAAGAAGACGCTGCGAATGACATCTGGTGACACCGCACAAGGAGTTGACGTGGATGATTTTGTTTCTAAGATCAAGTTATATATGGGAAGGGGCGAACGTTCGCAGGACCATGCATCACGTAATACTCAGCGGAGTCACCGGAATGGTGCTGTAGATGAAGATGATAGCGACAACGACAATGATGGAGAAATGCTCAACTGGGAACATCTCGGACGCAATGCATGTTTACCGAACAATGCTCGCCCATCAGTGCCAGGTTTTCTTCTTGGCCCCCTGTCTTTACAAAAGCGCGCCCGCAGGGCTATTGTTCGAAGAGCTCCCCTCAGACTAAACAATCTTCACGAAACACAACCCGAGGTTTTGAGAGCAGATGATATAGAGAAATCAGAGAATGCAAATTTGACTTATTTGTGCACCAAAATTCAAGACAGATTGAAGGAAGTTCAGGACAAGGCCTTCAATGCTGTTGAGCTGGAGGCTACAGAAGAGATGTCTGAAGAAGATGGTGTTGCGCTGAGGGAAAAGTATGGTATATCGGAGAATTGTAGCATTGCATATTTCAAATTTGTCATCAATCCGTTTTCCTTCGGCCAAACGATTGAGAACATGTTTTATGTGAGCTTCTTGGTTCGAGACGGTAAAGTGGAAGTTGAAATAGACTCGGATGGTCTCCCATACATAGGTTTGTTTTCTCATACCTCTCAAGAAGAAAATGATAGCTGATAGAGTACTTAGGCGTCAGGGATTCAAAAGACAATGCAAATTCTTCCCATACAGCAAGACATCAAGCAGTCCTATCCCTCGACATGCAAGATTGGCAAGAAATGATTAACCTCTTTGACATCAAAGAACCCATGATCGATCATAGAGAAGAACAAGACAATAGTAATATTGGCGCTAAGGGATGGTATGCTTAAATCATGGACTAAAGCAATAATACTTGGTGATTCGATTGGCGTTCGCTTTTTGGTGGACGCAGCATGGCATGCTTACATAGGTTTCATGCTTAGCTTATGGACGGAGTTTATTGGGAACAACGAAAAAGGGATGGATGGGAACATGGCTGGATGAATGTGTCCAATATCAAGTGGCGTAAAGGCAGGCGTCTTCTTATATGTTGTAGCTTTGTACCTTTTCAACGACGTGGAAGAACTTGCTGCTGTGTTGTATATAGTTGTGGGAATTCAGCATGTCATGTCGAGATAATGAAATTAAGTTCTAATGAAAATATTCCCAACAATTTCCGCAATGTGTCGCATGCTTCTAGGCTGTTTCTGTCATTACTTGGACTCTAAGTGCTGCATTATTGTAGTCATTTTTGATCGACATCCACTTAACACCCCTAGAGCTTCAAATGAAGACATCTTCTTGTCGACATGCGTGTGTATATTAGGGACAATCTAACAGGAAATTAGAGGCTTAGGCGTTTGCTCAGCTGCATAGTCTCTTATTGTGGTCAAAACGACAAAAGATATGTGTTCTACAGATAATTATAACCGTTTATTTCAGATTCAAATTGATGCGATCACAACTGTAAGATTGCATTAATTGAACTGAAGAGAGGACGTATCAATGAGAACATGTGTTTGTACAAAGGTGAAAGAGGTGGAACGAAAACATGGACCGTGGTGAAGGTCTTGCCACCGTTCAAGTGACTCCGTTCTACCCACTCGAATTCATCCCATCATGATCGTCTTATACGGAGCGGTATGTTAGTATATACATGTCATGAAATCGCCTATCCATCAGGGCCACATTCATCTGCCGTTCCTGCAATCTTGTTTTGAAGGTTAAAACCAAACACCTCGCTGTGCTGCTAAAAGATCCAGAATCTTACGAGAATCCGAACTGCATTGTGCACCAGTTCTATCCCAGTAGTGGAACTTTTTGATAAAGAGCGTCGTATCCAGAACCGACCCAACCAGTTTCCGCACCCCCTCGTGCAATGACCCCCAATCCACCGGCATACCAGACAAGGCTCACAAGACCAACAATACCATTGAGACTCCACCACCTCCTTCTTCTTTCCCTCTCGGTTCCTCTAGGTAGCAACCCTAACCACTTTGCTGTGCCCCAAACCATGTGACCCGCCCCAAATCCTACTAAAGCTACATAAGTCGTCCAAGAAATTACAGGATGTTTAACAAAGCCATGCGCAACGTATCCCAACCCAACACCAGATGATCCTCCTTCATGTATCAAAGGAATGACTCGGTTAACGAGCATATGAGAAGCTACAAGAGGAGCAAGAACATAGCCTGAAATAGAGGTGAACGAGATTGAAGGCCAGAACTTCGGTGATAAGAAGGAAAAGTATGAAAGAGAACTGGTCGGTTGATGGGAGGAGTAGCGTTTTTCAGCTACACGGCGGCGATAAAGACGTAACGCGAAGCCAGAAGTTATATGAGCAGCGAGAGGGAGACCAACGAGTAATGGCTCGAGAGGAAATGATTCTGTTGCGGGGTTAGTGGGGCTACGTGAAGCATAGGATGAGGGATACAGGCTTAGCCAAAGGGGCACTTACGATAGTATGGGCGAGTCAGTAATAAGTACTTTTCAGAAGCAGGTACCGAGCGGGTAATAAGGGGTATTATGGAGGTATTCGTGATATGCAAAGCACCAAAGACTGAAAAGGCATACGACGAGTAACGTTGTATACGTGTGACTATATCACATTATTTCATTAGTCCATACCCATGATATAAATTTACAACAAATAGCACTCACGATAATATACAGCTCCATGACCGGAACCACTAAGTCCTAATGTCGAGGATCTTCCAAACGAGGTATATGAAGGCAATTCGGGTAGCTTTTCATCCCAGTCAAGTGGGGAATCTATAGGTGAAGGATCTAATTGTTGAAGATCAACAAAAGTATCGTCTGAAGCGATAGAATCTCGCCGTTGTTCCATAGTTTACAATGTATGCAAGTGTGTATGAGATCTCAGTATCAACAAAATGAGATTTATCCAAAAAGGCATTAAAATGATAACAAGAATTACAAAAAGAGTTTCGGGATACTTATTAGTTGGTAACTAGGTAAGAACTAGATAGTCAGTGTGAAATGTGTTGAAGATGTATGGATCGGATAGATTTAAGGTTATCAAGCTTGGATCGTACCTTAATTTTTCCAGCAAACCATCACGTGGTCAGGCATTCGTACAAACAGTGAGTACCCAGGTAAGATGTGTGTTTGACGAACATTGGGCGCAAGAGAGATAAAGAGGTTACAATACAACACAACACAACACAAGACAACACAACAAGACAGCAAAACCGTCACGATCGTCACAAGAGATGCCTCCAGTAAGTTATCTCACGTGAAATGGATTGCCTGAATAAAGTACTAATGTCATCTTTAAGCGTGGTTTTACGAATCCGGCCCCAAAAACTGAAAGTGCTCGCGAGGCTGTCAAATCTTTCTATTGTAGGTTATCACGACCCCATCCACCTTCCACACATTCTCTTACATATACAGGCGAATTATGCAGCAAAGGTTACGCTCGAATGAACGAGTATGAGGCTCATCTCTCTTCATACGACCACTCTCATAAACAACGTCTCAAGGACATGCGACAATTAACACGCGATCCGATGGCCTCTAGCAAAGCTCGAAAGGCAGAAGCGAAAGCAAACTCGCAGTCTGGTTTGATATCAATAAAGTTGGGTGGAGAAGTAAGCTCAAGTGCTGGGACTACCGCTGGAGGTTTCAAGAAGGGGGGTTTCAAGAAATCGGGATTCAAAAGTGCTTTTGCCCCGGTTGATGGGGGCGGAGCTGATGTGCCTGTGAATGATGACATTGAAGAGAAGATTCAAGTAGACAGAAGCCTTGGGGTCAAGCAAGATGGCTTAGAAAGCGATACCGATGATGAACAATACGGGTATGAGATGTACGATCCGAGATATCCTACGGATTGAGAAAGATCAGACATCGAAGATTTGTATCCATACGAGCTAAAGCCTCGAGCAGTGTATAGTCCGAAGGCTCGATACCTCTCATCAAACTCGCATAGCTTTGTCCTGCATGCAAGTTCTGATGGAAAAGTTCGGGCATATTACACCAGCACTAAAGCATCGATTCTATGCATTCCGACCGAAAGGAATGAACATTCATGGTCATATTTATGAAGATCAAGACCACGATTTTCTGAATTAAAGAGTACCAACTAGCCACAAAACATAATCACATTTTGTATGTTGGCAAAGCACATATCTTTTCCCAACGAGAAGATTAGTAGTTGACCTCGAACACGATCCCTTACTTCTGGCCTCGTGAAAAGCGAAAAGTAACGAGGATTCGAGGAGCCAAGGAATTATTGGGCGCTCATTGCGCCTCTTCATACTCTAGAGGACACCTTAGTTTGAGAGTCATTTATACCTCAAGCTCCACACGGATGATTGCCCACCTCGGCAATTGGCTCTGCAATGAAGAGCATCGCGATAGTTTTTCGAGTGGTCAAACTTTAAAGGGCCAAACTGGCGTCTAGAGCATAGTTGGGTGACGTTCTAGGTCAAATTGATCGGTTCAATGAAAAATTACACCCGGAAAGGATGATATCCGTGACAGTCAGGGGATGAGATTCGGACTCAAATGATCAGAATAGCAAGAATGAATCATAGCCAGCATAATTTTGGTCCCACGAGTCGTCAGTAAGTCTTTAGACACCATGCCTGACATTAAAATTTTAGATTTACGTACGTTGTATGTGAAACGAAGCTGCGAGAAGAAGCTGCGAAAAGGGTTATGAACTCATCCACATATGTGACTTTCACAAGAAGGTAGTTCCCTGCCCATTCAGCCAGTCTAGTTGATCAAACTTGTTCGAAAGATATGAATAATCTCTTGCGTGATACCTGTCCTTAGCCCCTATCGTACCCTTTAGCTCAGCATGTATTAGCCATAAGTTATGATGGGTATTGCGAGAGTCCAAAACAATTTCCGCTTTCTCCAGATCCAGATCACAACGCCTGCTTCTATTGAAATCCAGACCGATCCAATTAATATGCATAAGTGCTAAGTTGTAGCCTTCAATACAGGATACACTTCATACCCATTTCATTTATCAATCCTAGGACAAGATACTTCAATGTTCATCCACTTCAATTGCAACATAGACATCGTTTCTTATGGGAGGTAACATACGGTGTGCCCTTACGAGACCTGTCCGTAAATGAGTTTGAATATGGCAATCGACCGTTCCAAGTAATCTTCGTGCGCACCTGGCTAAACATCAGAGATCTTGCTATACAGATTATCAATAGAGATTACCAATCATCACTTGCGAAATCGACGATTGGCAATGACAACAGCCCAAGACAGGTAAGTTCCTCGCAAGTCTGTATCTTCTTATCATGAAGGTGGATTTGCCGTCAAAAATGCTCATATTACTCTAGGCTAGTATTGTGGCCAACTATCTAGGAAGAAGATCTACGAAGCAATGTAAAGGCTATGAAACACATGATAGTTGAGACCCAAGCAAGGTCTACACCAGCTGTCATGAGATTTCGAAGGTCCACTGATCAACTGTAAGTAGGCAATCGAGATCGAGTTTCCTGATTCGGAACTTAATAATTTGTCTTTCGTCTGGATGCAACCAAATATACGTTGCTCTTTCCACCATATCTTCTAATGACAGCGCTGTTGTGTAAATACTTGCTTCCGTGACACCTTTTGACACACAGGTTTGCAACTACGAAATTATATAACTTGATTGGTTCCTACTCCCCACTCAAGTTTGTATCTTGGGGGTTTCTTTTTGCGACTTCCTAGACTTCTTTTTCGTGTAACCTTTAGGTGCATTACTACTCGCAGTAAGCATGTTAAGTATTTTGTGGTGTATTCACTCTTGGCAACACATTCGTGACATTTGCTATCTATTTGGGTATCCACAACAGCTGAAACTTAGAATGTACGCAGACTCTCTAACCTCTTCATCTGGTTTATTAGAGCAAACGGTTCTTTGACTTTCAGTAATTACGCTAAGTCTGGATTATATTCCACATTGGCCTCCTGATATCAATGAGGGTAAATGTAGTGTACTTGCCAATTATTTGTAATCTTCCAAGCGTCTAGCAACCTTAATGCATGAAAATTATATAGCGGGCCCAATTTGTTCCTTCGTATGTTGCCATTCAGATCATCATTGTTCTAGAAAGCATAGTAAAGTTTTGGACCTCGATGGTAAAGACGGCATTTCCATCAATGAAGTGAAAGTCGGGACAATGTAGAATGCAAAAAGATTGCAGCTACCTGTCACGTCAATACTTGTATAAACAAAACCAATGAATTTTTACCCAGTAGGAGCGATGTTGACTACGAATTGATTCCTCTAAAGAAATTTTATCAGAACTTCACAGCCACAGGCCCCGGATTGAGCTAGTCTGAACTGGGAAAATAGTCTCTGATAGGCTGTATTACACGAGCGGGGAATCGACCTCGCTTCGCAATGTACAGATCAGGAAACTGCTCTCTCACTGGCCCGCTCCTGCGGCTCATCTATTTGTGGATGCTCATTTCTCAAATTGAGCTCTTATGCACATCAAAATGTGTAGCAGGAGCTTCACATCTCGGATTTTGGAGATGAATCTTCACGGATTTTGCTAAAGACCGGTCACTGGCCATGGCAATGATCTCATCAGAATGTATGCTATTCATTTGGGCGTTGAAATAAAAACGGAAAACGATGTGCGAAAAATCTATATAACATGCTGTTCACCCTCTAGTTGTGGTTGAATTCAAATCATCCAGACCAATCTCATTCAGAAACCACCCATACCTAAGCGTAAGAATCTTGCTCATCGCTTATCACTATCCAACAACTATTCCCGAGAAAACATGGCAGCTGCAGTTGCAACTCAACCCCACAACCTTCCGCTCCTCGTTACTCCCGAGACGTGTCGAGGCCGTACTTACATAGTTACTGGCGCCAACACCGGTCTTGGGTTTGAAGCAGCCAGGCATCTTGTTCGACTGGGCTCTGCCACCGTGATTATGGCAGTACGTGACCCGTCTTCCGGTCTTCGCGCTCTGGCTGATATTGAATCATCAACCGGAATTTCTGGTGTAGCACAAGTTTGGGAGCTTGATCTATCTTCATACGCTTCTGTTATAGCTTTTGCGAAAAGAGCAATTGATGAACTCGATAGAATCGATGCAGTGATAGAGAACGCTGGAGTGGCTTCAGGAGAAAGAATCATGAAAGAGGGACATCTGCTTACAATTACAGTCAATGTAATCAGCACTATACTATTGGGAGTCTTGTTGCTTCCAAAATTGAAGGAATCTGGGGAGCGGTTCGGAATCTTACCGCATCTGGTTATCGTAACGAGTAGAGTCTGTTTTGATTTTGGGGAGGACTGGATGAAGATCAAGGATGACCCAATAGTGAATTCGAACATGGAAGAGATGACTCCCAAGGCGTAAGTTATCCGTAGGTCTCTTGATTCAGACTAACAAAATTCAACCAGGTATCCACTGTCTAAGCTCCTTGAGATAATGGCAATTCGCCATCTCACTGGTCTTCTTCCCCTTCAAGAAACTGGAGTTGTCATAAACCTAGTGTGCCCCGGTCTCTGTAAGACCGACCTTAGCCGCAGTGTCCCCCCCGGACTTCGTGAAAGAATAGCCAAGCAAAAGGAGCAATATGGGCGAACCGCCGAGGATGGAAGCCGGACATTATTGTACGGTGCCATTGCGGGCGAAGAGAGCCATGGGTGTCTGTTGGAATCTTGTACCATCGCTGAGTACGTTTGAATCATAGCCACACTCTGTTACTGTGCTGACAATTTGATCAAGGAATGCGATACCAAGTTGGATAACTGACTTGGATGGCAAGAAATCGCAGAAGATTGTTTGGGATGCTATTGCAGGGAAATTGGAGACGATTGAGCCTGGATGCGTAGAGAAGATATTTAAAAGATGAAGCTTCTGAAGCTACTCATCGTTAGTGCTACTTATTCTCCAAGTAACTCACATAGCTTCCTTCTTTTATGAATGACGCATCTGATTATATGTATCAATGACAGATCAAATTTTCTATACACACATTTCTTCACTCAACCACCTCTATTCTTACTAAATTCTCGAAGAGTTCTACCCCGTTTCCTTATAAGAGTTGGATTCTTGTCTCTAAGTGGTCGAAGCATCGGAATGAGACCCTTCAATCGATTGCAGTAATGCACTGACCTCTTTATCGTGCAAGGCATAGATCCAAGGAAAGCTTTCCAGCTTTTGTTGTACATCAGTATGACCTTGAAGATTGAGAACTTGCATAGTTTGGCTTATATCCAAAGCTAGCCAAGCATCATCAAGACTTCCGAAGATTGAGGCTTTCCCTATAAGCAATAACCAGAGTAATGCCTCTGGAGATCCATATTTGTTTTTAGAAAGTTCTTGTGTAGAAGATCTAAGCAAATTAGCCAACAATGGATTGACTGGGACTTTCCCATCGAGTCCACGCATAAATGTTGAGATGAATGACGCCAGGCCTAAGTGAATTGCATTCTCCAGAGAGTTCTTAGGACGACAATCTCCTAAAGGACACATGGAGAGAAGACGATATCCAAGAAGAAGAAGCGTGTTGTGAAGCTTGTGACCAGCCAAAGGGGGAGCTCTTCCGACAATGGCATCATTGAGCAACAGAGTGAAACTAATAGTATCTACCAGAAGAACAAGGAGATCGGTGCTCAGTGGTAATGAAACTAATGCACATGAGATTGCCTTGTTTTTGTAGAAATCTAGATTCCTACTCTCACTTGCGCAGAACGTATCATTGGATTCAATGTCCTGAACATTGTATCGTGTGCAGGCGCCCGAATGGAGAGAATATTCGAGATCAGCCCTATCTCGTGTGTCAACATTAATCATGCATAGAGATCTTCATTGCTGACCTGAATATTTTTTGAGCAAGAGTGTACTGTTCCCTTTTAAGATTTGAGATGCCACCCCTCATCTTAACCATCCTTTCGAGTCCTTGAATATGTACAAGGCCTTGACTGAATTGACCCTGCAACCTATAATAATGTGACATAGTCAACACAACCGCAATGGTAGTATCAGCTACGGCCTCTTTTCCAGATAGTTTCTCATTAATCAAGCGAAATGCAAGCGAAAGATGATGCATAGCTATCTTTGGATCTTCCTGATTTAGGATGAGGTTATTGAGAGCCGTGACTGACACAGCTACACCGCAGTGTAAACCTGGGAGATGTTGAATTAGTGATATTGTTTTGATGTCTAAGAAGAGATAAGTGTAGCGTACATGCTTCGTCTAAAAGCATGAACTGGACGAATATCGAAGTAGATGTCTGAGTTTTAATAAAAGCTTTGCTCAATTCCGCGGGGTATCCTATACTGCTTATGAATGCAAAAGCTGCGCAATTAACCCAGATTAGCAAGAATTCCCATAAAAAAAGGTATCACTAGAACGATGTCACCATACTTCTCTGAATGATTTGCTTGTCTTTGAAAACGTGATCTGGAAATGGAAGACAAGAAATGATATTCCCAACCTGGCGTTCGATCTCATAAGTGGTATTCTCCTCCGAGTCCTGTTGTTCTAGATGACCCGAGCCAATCTGGGCACTTCTCAAATTTATACAAGCCGAAGTGAATACACGTTTCATTCCAGTTGCTTTCATTCTAGACGGTCGGACGAGCTTCTTTCCAGCATTCCTTCCCAAAGCGACGTGACTCCGGATGCGTTTTCGGACTGCATGATTGATTCTTGAATTATTGATAAATTCGAAAGGCATAGCTATTGATGTTATTTTGCAATATCAGGCTGTCTCACACGTGAGATGAATTGGAGAAGATGAAGGGGTATGGATAAAGGCTCAAGTCTCGGAGTTAGTGGTGTTAACGAGAGTGGGCACGAATGACCGTCACGTCGGAGCCGAGCACGTACATGGAATTTTCCACTAAATGACTACTACCTATGCAGATGGTTAGTTGTCAGACAATATCACATTCCAGGAAAATCACGTTGTGCATCTTATTCATTTGGAAAAACAAAAACAGAGACGTCTGGCTTCGATATGATATCCCATCCAATGAGTGGAAAGGGAGGGTCTGATACTAGAGAAGAAAATGAATAACGTTGTACTATCATTGATGCAGTTCTAAAATTCGCATTATTTGACAACTGTGACACTGACATTCAATAGTCTCGATTTCTTCGCTCACTCCCATTGCTTTTCACCCTCTGTAATCTTCTTCCGCCTCTCGCCGTTTTTGTCATCCTCATTCTCCGTGTCCTCGCTGCCTACTTGTCATTTACCCTCCCCGTCTCCTCACCCTGGAGCTAGCGCTTCCGCTTATGATTGAGATAGAAAAAGTAGGAATGAATGGATATAGATTTGTGCAACCGCATACCCAGCTATCTTCCAACCACGGCTTTAAGTGTCATGACAAAATTAAAACATCTCGTTTATGCATTCTCAAGCTTTCCGCTCCGAACCCTTCCCAAGTTTCCCAAACCGACTCAAATTTCATTAAATATCAGTACATTTCGGCTCACCAGTCTGAATTGCTAGATTACTTGGTACAGCTCCCTCTGACCGCAAGTTTTCAATAATAACACTATGGATTGATATTCCATCATTTGGCCCCAACCACTTCTGCCATGTACTATATTCAGTCATAAACAATGCCGGGCCAAAGCCTTCCCACATCATGGCCAGCTCGTAGGAATGTTGTTCTGATCTACCACACTTATCAGTCAACATTTTGAATATCCATAATCGACATTCAGCGTGGTTCCAATTCCATTGTGGAATGCTTTGCGAGGTAATACTCGGACGAGTGTTCGTTGTGAGTATATGAATAGGCGGAAATGTAGACGATGGGGTACCTGGATTGGTTTGGGTAGCCGCGGAGGATTGAGCTTTCACGTTATGAGAGGGGATAAGCCATTGGGCGGAGGTTTCGGCAGCTGCAGAGAATTTAGGATTTGTGTTATTGTATGGTGGAGGTGCTTCTAATGAGCCCAAAGCCTTCTTGCGATGAAACAAATTCTTCCAGAAAGAAATCATGCTTACAGATTTGAGGTTTGCAGTTAAAATTGGCAGACAAGTGTGTTTGTTTATGAAATATTGTTGGGGAAACCTGCCAACTTTCTTCAAACAATAAAGTTTGACTAAATTGTTAGTGGTAAGCGATCGTACTGTAGCTTACACGGTGTTGCTTGTTAGTAGAGGACCTAAAGCTATTGAAACAGATAGTCGATCATGTGCTCATCACAGGATTCCTCCAAAATTGTTATTCTTCCTTGATCGTAGGCCATTAGCCTCAGCTTAGCCTTCCGCCGTTTCAATTAGCTTCCTCACCGAATAGGTGTTCAGAGAACATCCAGACTGATAATCGATAACTCCCCAATCATCGCCTCAGACGTTAAAAGTCACGTATTGATGCCGATTTCGGGTATGCAGAGACACCGAATGTGATAACAAGTATTAATATCCAGAAAATTCCAACTAGCTACTACCCAGAGTCCGGCTCTCATGAAAACAAAACGAAAAATGCTACCGCTCATGCAAACAAAACTTCATAAGTCTCATGTTATTCAACCAGAAATTCCCTGCTCGATAAGTCTAATTCTTCTGAATCAGTCCTCCTAGTTCGTCCAGCAATTCCACCGTCTCCCTGGGACTCGCAATCCAAGCTGTAGTACCAACAACTCTCGCCTTGAAATCATTGCTTCCGGCACTCAAAAATTGGTCTCCAACATGTAAAGTCTTGTCCTTTTTGATCCATTGACTTTCATCCTCGACATTTCCACCAAAGAATTTCTGACAGACCAACACTCCCCAGCTCTTATCGCCAATATCCACAAAAACGTCATTTCCCCCATTGAAAGCACAAAAAGGTAAAGAACGACCGACGTCCGACATCTCGAGCTTCTTTTGTACAACTAATACAGTTTCTTCGAGTGACTCCCGTGCAAATTTATAGCCCGGTTCTCGAGGAACAATGCCCACAGCTCGTTCTTTTCGAAGAATAGTAGCAGGCAAATCAAGATTGGTAACACACTCGCGAAGGGAGAACTCCGCAAGGTCGAGAAGAGCAGTTATACTCGGTTGAGTCCAAGTGGACATACTGGGTAGAATCCATGAGCGACGGGGGTGATGGGTCAAAAGGTATGGGGAGCTGGCGTCATAGGTGAAGAGGAAGTTGGATTCGCCGCCTGAATGAGCGTTAGAAATAAAGGAGAACGAGAGTGTTAGAAAGGTAATTTACCCATTACGATAAGATTCTGCTTTTGCTCTGGTGTAAGAATGGTGGAAGCTTTGATTGCTTCCAACAGTCCATGAAGTCTTCCGTAGTACTTTTCAGCCTCAGTATATCCAGCTGCAGTTACAATTCCAATCTTGGTATTGTGGCTCATAAGATCTACAGCTATAAGCATTTTATCATCCAACGTAGATTAGTACGACTCACTAATTATTCGCTCAATAACAGGGTTGGTAGGTTCAAGACTTTTACCGTCATCATATCTTCAATGCTTTAGTTAGAAAGCCGAGAACCTAGCATAACAAGCATGACTTACAATGTAACATCACCATCAAAAGTTGCCAGATCCACCGATCCCGCAGAAGTGACACCCATGAGCTGCGCAGTGTTTAAAATAAGCCTGATATCGTTGAAAGAAGGTGGAACAAATCGTCTCGACGAGATAAAGCGTTTTCTGTCCTGATATCTAAAAGCGTCCGCCAGTGGTAGTCGAGTGAAAAATGTACCAATACTGGGAACCAGGAGTTTTAACTTGGATTGACCTCCTAAGCCAACTTTTTGATGGGCGACTTGACCACTTTAGTATCTTGGGTTACGTTACGAAGAATTATACTCACTGTGATCATCAATCATATCTTCAACGTCTTGCATGATTTCCGCATAACGGCGGTGGGCAATCTCAGCCATTTCACCAATGGTTCCATTTCTGGATTCGAATACACCAGTTGGCTGTGAATGTAGAACAAACGGTACAGCTAATAAACCTTTGATCCATTCTTTAATTGAAAGTCAGTAATCAATGTGAGAACATTTTAAGAGCGCTTGCCCAAAGTGGAAATTGTGACTTCCAAGATCACGCGCGATACTATCGGGTGCTATTCAATTACACAGCAGTATGACAAGTGGAAAGAGTAGAAGCAAATTGACAGTTGGTACCTATGAATTGATCTCGTCGATGGGTTTTAAGTGCATCTGAATAGAATTAGGATCGTTGGGTTGGTTGAGGATATGCTATGGACACGTACACTCAACTCGAAATCTATCTGAACGGTGAGTATACATGAAGAGTTGCATGTGATAGAATGGATACGTACCTCGTAGTCATTGTCGTAGATCTGATTGAAGGCAAAGTATAATAGTGTAAGGTGTTTTATGGAGAATGAAGATAATGATGTGAATCTTTGAGAACTAAAGAATGTGTTCTGATGTTGTCGAAGACTTTCAAGTATGGTTGGATTAAGTTGGGTTGGGAATGAGAAGGAGGTGGCCGTGAGGCATTGCATTGTTGCTAGCGATTGCATTTGTTGGCCAATGCACAAGCAAGTGAGTGTTTGTTTGTAGGTTAGAGCTAACCAATGAGATTCGACGCTGCATTCGACAGATTGACATTCTCCTGTTGACACTGCCGACTCCGTAAAATTCAGCAATCAAGTGGTTGGTTTGTTACCTAGGCAGGTAAAAGAAGGTTAGTTTCGATTTGGTTGACTTGGTTGAAGAAAGGATTGTATTTGTATTTGATTGTTGAGAGAGTCAACACGAAGCTAATTCTACAGAAGAATCCTCCCCCTTTGGACTCACCCCTTTTTCACCATTGGCGAACTACCCTGGTGTTATCATATAAAGTCAAAATACTCAATGCATCGCTTGAGCTCGGATTACAATATGCTAATGTTGAATAAGTCTCCTTCTATTTTTCTCTAGATTTGGGTCTGGTTGTCCTAAGTGCTTTGTACTATACCAAAACTTGCTCCCTCCTTAGATCTGGCCAAGCATTCCTTCTACTCTTTTGGGAATGGGAAACACAGCCCAGCTATCAGAGAACCGGCCAGACAATCACCCCAAGCTCCCGGGCTCCCACCCTCCCAAGGAAGATTATCACGTGTATCTAATCGGAGTGATCTGGATCTCGTGCCGATCCTTGTCTCCCAAACCCCGCATACACGTAATCTTATCAGATCTTTATATATAAGGTTACAGCATCGATCTTTCTCTCTCGTGTTACAACTCTGAATACTTTGAAAGCAAGCCAACACCGAATCAAGGACAAATCACTGCTTAACTGTTATCTTCACACCCAAAGAATACAACAAGATGAAGGAAAACGACACTGCTCTCTATCCAAACCCGGAAGTTTCTCAAGCGGTTACCCAATATTCTCTTGAACATTCAACCAAGCTTCCTAAACATATATTAGACCATCATGCTTGGGGATCGACTCAGCCAAAGGCCAATTTTATGATCTCGCCTTTCCAAGCACAGTTTCAGATTTTTATGGCCAGGGCTATGGGTGCCAAAAGAAGTACGTTACTCCGTATATTGTTAAAAGATCGAGGATGGCTGTTGTGTCTCTGTGGGATTGTGTGAGAGTGAGATACTGGCCCTCGATTTTAAGATGTGTTTAACCGCTAGTATTCGATTTAGTGTTACCAAGTGGGAGCTCAATACATTTGCAGGCACCTTTTACTTCATGCTAGTCCAAGCTATATTTGCCGCGTATATGGAAGTCTTCACATATTGACTTTACAAAATTAGTTCTAGAGATCGGAACCTACATTGGCTTTTCTACTATGGGGGTAAGTCTCCTCATTTCTTGAAGCCCTTCTTTCCCTCTATCCTGTCATAATTTGATCCCCGATGTTAAAATTCAATCTAGTGGTCTGAGGCCGTCGGTCCCGAAGGTCACGTAACAGGCCTTGAATTTTCACCCGAATACGCGGAAATTGCCCGCGAGACATTCTCCAAAAATAATCTCAGTAATGTTGAGGTTTTGGTTGGTGATGCTCGTGAATCGTATGTCCAGTGTCTATCTTGTCTCCAACCGCCCCTCAACACGTACATAGACATTTTCTCTAAACTTATCACAGAATTAAAAGCTTGATCACCAATCTTCAAGAACCTTACGATCTAATTTTTATCGACGCCGACAAAACTTCATACCCCGCTTATCTCGATCTCATCCTCTCTCTTTCTTCCCCATCTTCTACGCAAACCCGTCTCCTCAAACCTGGCGGTCTAATCCTCGCAGATAACATTCTGCGTCGCGCACGTGAGCACTATTCTCATTGATTCCAACCTACCCAACCCCTGATTTCGCTCTCAGTTCCCCTTTCCTGACCCACTTGCTCACCCACTAACTCAAACCACAGTCGTCGCCGATTCCAGCGCCGCAAACCCATGGGCCCTCAAAAACGGAGAAAAGACCTGGAAAGAAGGTGACTTAAATGCACTGAAGGAATTTAATGATTTAATGGTTACCGAGAAAAGATTAGACACATTCCTGTTACCCTTATTTGATGGGGTAGGAATGGGCAGATTGAAGGATTGAGATGTGAGGTTAGATTGAAGGATATAGATTTGTACATGTGATCTGTATAGTTAGAAGTATATATGAATCATTCAAGTGTGAATAGAATCATAATTTGAGGGTTTGCATGATTCTTTTGTAAACTATGGCAGTTTACGGATTCTTTTAATGTCACTCAGCTGTATTATTCGTTCGTTAGCTATGCCATACCATTACTTTGATCTGATCTTGAGGGATTCAATGCTAGAATGGCCAAGAACCCTGACCATGATTCAATCAATCGGATGAGTTGAGCGCAGTTAAATGGTCCAAATTCAAGGGCCTCTCATTGTTGAATCGAAGTTGAATATTTCATAAGCTCTGCATATATGTACAACTTGATGACATCATCTCACTGTAGAGGCTTCATCCCACTTCCATTCAAATCCCATTGTAATACAGAGATATGTAATAAGAACGCCATCCACCATGCATCCGACCCGAAGGTAATAATCCTATGCAATGCAATTTAACTCCTCAAAAACTCTCAAAAGAGAGGCACGCAGTTTAACAATCCTGGCCCCAATTGTCCTTGATCCATCCGGCCATCAACTCCGTCAAAGTCTCATTTCTATAACTATTGACATCTTCGTCTGTATAATCCGCCCCGGAAAAGCGCAATGCAACCAGGATCCATGGTTTTATGAAGTCTATGAAGACTAAATCTACAGTCTCGGGGTTTGAGTTGATGGAAGGGATATTAATGCGGGATTCGATACAATTAGGTACACGATGGAAAGTGATGGGGGAATGAATTGTGTCATCGCCATCGGAGCCGTTGTCATCCTTAGTAGTATAGCCAGGAATGAGCTCGGGTTTTTGGGTTGAGGAGGATGAGAAGAGAGGAGATTGAGCGTTAGATGGCGGTGAGAGATCGGAGATGGGTATCGAGGGAGCGAGAATATCCGTTTTGTAGGAGAGATGTTCAGGTGGTGCGAGATTATTGATATCTAGATTTGAAGACAAGAAGATGTTGCCGCCGCTGTTAAGAAGTGGGAGAACTTGTTCGGCAGCAGCGATTGGCACGTCTTTGATATACAGAAATTTGCTAACAAATGGAGAGATGATGAAGGTTGTATCTCTTGTGAAGGCACCTTTGAAGATATCAAACCTCATGGCGCCTGTGTTAGTAATAGCTATTGTTGGAACATCTTTTCGATCGAGACGGTATACAACATCAGGCATCACTTCGTCACCAAGCCACGAGAAAAGACTGTCTTTACTAGGATATTTTGCTCTGCTCATCCAGAGATCCTTTGGGGCGCAACCGAAATTGTGGTCGAGGTTTAGGGCCTTTCGAGCTTTAGCGATAGAATTCGAGACATTCTTGCCATGCTCCGTGGGAAATGTTGTATCGTTTAACCCAGTATGAAAATGATACCCAAAAAGGTTATTGTCAATATACCTTCTTTGGAAAGACATGCTTGTACGTTCGGCAACCTCAGTGGCTTGTGCACTAGAAGTGTGTTTTTCTTGGGGGATCTTTTCCTTCTCGTCCTTCTTGATACCTTCAATGGACATCCAGCCAACAGTCTCCATATATCGACCGCTCTGTATTCCGTACGCCTTAGAATCGTATTTGGCATAGCTTCGAATATGGCTATGGCCACCAAAAAACTGAATGGGAGTATCCCAATTTTGATCTCTCAAAGCCTTATAAATGGCCTTGTACTCCGGCCCATCTAGAGTTACATGTCCAATAACCACAAACAAATCAGCATCTTCTCGAATTGCTTGTTGGAACCATTCTTCCTTGATAGTTTTTTCGACTTCTTGCACAACGGTATTGTTGGCGTTTCTATTGAAATCGAAGAGAAATCCAAACGCAACCACTTTGATCCCCTGATTCTTCGTTGTAAACTTGCGATATCGTTTTGCCATGGGAATTTGTTCACCGGTCTTGGGATTTATGTAATCGAGATTGGAAGCAAGATAATTGCCGTTAAAATTTGGCACAGTTTGATCGTATTCTCGAGCGGCGGCATCTGCCTTGTATAACTCATGGTTTCCTGTACAGATGATGTCGATATGTTGTTCCCTGAAAATGTCATATGTATATTGCCCTTTGGGATCTGATGCATCGTATAATCCATTTCCCTCGATTCTATCTCCTGTATCGACAAGTAAAAGATCCACCCCTTTATCATCCGCTTGCTTCTTCATCTGCTCTGCGAATGATATATAATCACCCCAGTCCGCAGAGTACTGGGCCCTGAGATATCGGTCAGCCTCTGTTCATTTCCACCGATTTGTAATTTAACCTACTCTTGTAGATGACCTGCATGCCACCCATGAGTATCTGTGGTTTGTAGGAAGTTGAGTTGGCCCCATTGTAATGGTCTCATAGGTGCCGCAATAGCAGCTGGCGCAGAAGGTTGGGCACCTGCTGCTAGAGATGTGAGAAGACCGGTTAAGGTCAATAGATGTTTTGCTATCTTCATGATGTCCTTAATACTGTGAGCGATGACATATGAGGGGGTCAAAGTAACTCTCAGGCAGCGAGCACTATTATTCAGGATTTTAGAGTCTGAGTATTGAAGTGAATGCTAAATGATGAGCGACTGCTGCTCATTGGGGTATGTGAAGTGAGTTTGTGCCAAACTACGAATACTTAAAGTGATAGTTGGGTAATAGGATTCTCAGATAGACAATGAACGATATGTACCCAGTACTGATACAAGAAGGGTGATAAATTGAGAGAAAAATGATGGATAGCTTAGAGATGTGGATTTGGATATAAACATGGAGATAGAGATAGAGAT